CCAGCAGATCGAGGCTGCGGTGGCCGGGAGCAGCCACTGCACTCCAGTCTGGGTGACAGAGTGAGATTCCAACTCAAAAAAAAAAGAAAAAGAAAAAATGTTAGGTATTTCTTTTGACCTAGAGGTGCTGCTTTAAAAAAATTGCTGAGATTCTAAGTACACTGTAAACTGAGAAATTGGAAACTCTGGACTGAGATGTCAAAAACAGATCAAAACCATAATCAAGGAGTAAAGTATAGGGATTTGGTTTGAGATGGCCTAATTTCATAGGCATGTCATATATTTTACCATTAAGTATCTGTGTTCACAGTGCAGCAAATAGACACACACAGTAGTTGAATCTGTACTCTCTGGTGGCCAATAACCTCTAAAAAAAGTAGGAGAAGATGTAAAGAGTTGTAAAGATGGTTCGACTTTTCCCCACATGATGCTTGAGAAACACTACAGAAGGTTGAGTCTTGTTCCTCAATTTTATTTTTGTAGGTATATTGCATACATCTTTTGGTTTACATATACTTTGGACTGAGCTTATTAAAATTAATTGATTAGATTTGAACTTCTTAGATAACATGTTTTTGTTTTTTGAGTTGGAGTCTCACTCTGTTGCTCAGGCTAGAGTGCAGTGGCATGCTCATGGCCACCGCAGCCTCAACCTGCTGGGCTTGGGTCATCCTTCTACCTCAGCCTTCCAAGTAGCTGGAACTACAGGCACACGCCACCACACCCAGCTAATTTTTTGATTTATTGTAGAGACAAGATCTCACCAAGTTACTAGGACTGGTCTCGAACTCCTGGGCTCAGGCAGTCCTCTCACTTCGGCCTCCCAAAGTGCTAGGATTGCAGACATGAGCCACCACACCCAGCCAGATATAACATGTTTTAATCCTATCTTTTGTGTAAACTGAATTAGATTTAGGATATTTTTTGGGAAACCCTTCGAAAATCAAATATTGATAGATATTTTCTTGGGCTGATTTTTACTTATGACTGATCTTATTCATTATTTAACATAATGCTTTCAGAGTTTCAAATCTTTGTAATTTCATTACTAATGTGAAATTTTACTTTTAGATCATCTTGTTTCCTTTGCTAAATTACTGGATGAATAAGTATAGTAATAAAGCTAGTAATACAACAATAACAAGTGATGATAGACTAAACCATTTCTTTGCATTGGGCTCAGTTCTTAACATATGTATTTTTTTCTTTGCAGTTACTGTTTGTACTCTTGTGTCCCTTGTGTACTGTTCTGATGCATAGTTGATGCTCAATTAATATTTGTTAAATGAATTTAAAAAACAAGGTTGGAAAACAGTGGCTTGGATCACGGTGGTGGGTAAAATGGCAAGCAGAAAAGATTAGAGTTCATGAAAGGGAAAAGGTGGAGGGCTCCAACAGCTACGCAAGAACTATTGATTTGTGATTTTTTTTTTTTTTTTTTTTTTGAGTTGGAGTCTCACTCGATCGCCCAGACTGGAGTGCAGTGGCCGCTCCCGGCCACCGCAGCCTCGCCTGCTGGGCTCTGGCAATCCTTCCGCCTCAGCCTTCCCAGTAGCCGGAATTACAGGCATGCACTACCACGCCTGGCTGATTTTTTGATTTATTGTAGAGATGAGGTCTTGCTGCCCAGGCGGGTCTCGAACCCGTGGGCTCAGGCAATTCACTCACCTCAGCCTCCCAAAGGCATGGGATTACAGGCTGAGCCACCGAGCCCGGCTGATTTGTGATTTTATGTGAGCATGGTTAAACTTATAAAAGTTGGGGGAGGGGGCAATGACTGAATTTTTACAAAGACATAATATTGTGTAGTCTGTTACACGACTTTTCATCTTGGAAGAAAGTCCTTCTCTAGTTTGGAATCCAGTATTGTGTAAATCAAGGGATTATCTGTGTCCCCACCCACCAAACCCATCCCCATCCTTTCTTTGTCTAGACCCAGAAATTCTTGCCCTAGAACTTTTTCTTCCCCATCAGGGGATCCTGGATGTGCTCTCCCAAGCCAGCACTGTTGCCTGGGGCGACCCTGCTTCCCTTGTCCTGGAAGCAACTCAGACACGGGTTCATTTCCTTTTTATTCTAGGGTTGCACGATCTAGGGTTTGAAATGTTCTCTTTTTGAATCTCTCACGGTTTGCTGTTGACCCAGCCCTGATGAGGTTTCAGATAAACGATTCGGAGGCTCTCCTCCCGGCTTCTAGTCCTTTTCTGGCTTAGGATTCATTGCCTCTGTGAGGGTCCAGAGCTGGAAAGATTAGGTTTACAACTCAGCCACGGCGACTGAATCTGGGTGTGTCACCATGGAGACGGGGCCCGGCCCGCTTGCTCCTCTGCGATTGGCTGGGGACTCCCGGGCTGGAATATAAGCCGGCGCCAGGAGCACAGTGCACTGCCTGTGCCGACCAGACCCGGCGACCGTCGCTCGGCTCAGCGGGGCAGGTCGGAGCCGAGAAGACTCATCGAGAGGGCGTCGGTGGGGCCATGGAGAACGAGTAAGGCGGGCACCAGGCCCCGGGACCCCAGAGGCCCCTCGGGAGAGGAAAGGGCTGTGAGACTGGGAAACCTTGCACACTGGGCCCCGAGGGAGCCGGGGGGAGGGAGCGAGTGCCCTGGAGATGCAGAGCGGCCTGGCACCGAGCCTGCTGTCAGGGGCAAGGCGGCAGAGTCGTGCGGCAGTCAGCGCGGCCAGGGACGCGCGCGGGAATCGAGCTGGGGTGGCGCCACAGGCGCAGGAAGGGGACAGGTTAGTGCAGCTCGGGCTGCTCCGTAAAAGTCGTTGTGTGTCTGTGTGTTACAAGTGCAAGTGGAGGGGAAACACATCCCCTACTCCATACCCGGAAGAGGTCTCGCTCCCCTGTGAGCCCATTCTAGGGTCTGGGTAAAGCCACGAGGTACTTTTGATGCTCGAATACGGAGTTCCTTCTTTAGAGGAAAGATCGCTCACTTCCCTTACCAGCTCTATTCCTCTCTGCCCAATAAATTGGAGGACTGATTAACCAGTTGGGAATGGAGTCTTCAAGGAGAAAAGGAAATCTGTATTCATCGTAATGAGCAACAGACCCTTCCCCACTCTCCCTAGCCCATGCCTTTGAAAACGTCTCTTTGAGTCGGGCTCGGTGGCTCAGCCTGTAACCCCGCGCCTTTGGGAGGCTGAGGTGAGTGAATTGCCTGAGCCCGCGGGTTCGAGACCCGCCTGGGCAACTTGGCGAGATCTCATCTCTACAAACAAATAAAAAATCAGCCGGGCGTGGTAGCACGCCTGTAAATCCAGCTAATCGGAAGGCTGAGGCGGAAGGATCGCCGGAGCCCAGCCGGTCGAGGCTGCGGTGGCCGGGAGCGGCCACTGCACTCCAGTCTGGGCGACAGAGTGAGACTCCAACTCAAAAAAACAAACAAAAAAACCGTCTCTTTGCTTTGGTCCTGGAATTCCCAGTCCAAGAGAGCAGCATTAAGGACCACAGTAGCTTTGAATACCCAGGGATCCAGAGTGTTCTTGGGGTACTGTTAGCCCTATTTACATATCAAGAGCTCTGGCTAGACACTCCAGGTGGCAGCGGCTTCACACGCTTTCTTTGCACCTCTTGGGGATGCTATTCAATTAACTCTTTACCAACTTCATTACTTGTCGCCATCATTTTGTGGCTCTATTATTCCCCCCTCTCTCCACATACCGCTCTTGACTCAGCTGCTTCCCTGTAGGTAGGTAGCCTAGTGTATTGTGGACTCACGCTGGTCTTGTTTCCCAGGCTTTGCTTTTGAAGTAAAAACATTTCCTTTGGAGGCTTGGTTAGTTACATTCAGCCCTGGCACACCTCATTTCCACCTTTGAAGGCAATCTTTGGTCTTTCCGGATGAGTGTGAGAGAATTGGACTTGGGACTGAGAAAAATTCTGGAAGGATTTTTGCCAGTGTAGGGGTTCTGGGTACTTGCCCTTAGTTCCTTGAAGAGCAAAGATCCTTGGTGGAGAGAAGAAAGACAGTAGCAGACAGGGAGGGGGAAGAAGGGTAGGGAAGAGACCACAGGCAGAAAGCAGGAAGAATATTCAAGTACTGTATATTAAAAAGTCATTTGTCCTTGGAGTTGTTAGCAAGTGTTTACTTCACTAGGCTAGGGCCAATTACATTCCCTTGTTTTACACCTGAGGAAAGAATTTTTTTCTTTTTTCTTTTTTTTTTTTGAGTTGGAGTCTCACTCTGTCGCTCAGACTGGAGTGCAGTGGCCGCTCCCGGCCACCGCAGCCTCGACCTGCTGGGCTCCGGCGATCCTTCCGCCTCAGCCTTCCAAGTAGCCGGAATCACAGTCATGCGCTACCATGCTCGGCTGATTTTTTGATTTATTGTAGAGATGAGGTCTCGCCAACTTGCCCAGGTGGGTCTCAAACCCGCGGGCTCAGGCAATCCACCCACCTCAGCCTCCCAAAGGCGCGGGATTACAGGCTGAGCCACCGAGCCCGGCTAGAATTTTTTTTTCTTTTTGAATTGGATTCTCACCCTGTTGCCCAGGCTGGAGTGCAGTTGCATGCTCATGGCCACCATAGCCTCAACATGCTGGGCTCAGGTGATCCTTCCGCCTCACCCTTCCAGGTTACTGGAACTGTAGGCATGTGCCACCATGCTCTGCTAATTATTTATTTATTTATTTATTTATTTATTGTAGAAATGAGGTCTTGCCAAGTTGCCCAGGCTGATCTCAAACCCCTGGGCTCAGCTAATCCTCTCACCTCCTCCCAAAGTGCTGGGATTACAGGCATGAGCCACCACGCCTGGATTAGGAAAGAATTTGAAGACAAATTACTTGCCTAAAAAGACAAAATTGTAACTAGAATCCAGGTTGAATCCTGCTTCCCTCTAGACCAGCAATTTCTAAACCTGGGTTTTAAATCAGAATTACATGAGATGCTTTTGTAAAAATATAGATTCTGGGGTCTGTTTGCAAAATTATTAATCTGTATGGGGTGGGCTTCAGAATCTGAATTTTTTTTTTTTTTAGTAAAAAAATTTAGCTAGCCCTGACTCTTTGTCTGAAGAAGAAACTGGAGGGATGAGGGTTCAAAAGGAAATTGGGTTTATCCCTGCCTTCAAGGTAGTCAGTCTCAATTATATTTTGAGTGTCCTTAGGTGATAAGTAGGGTAGTAAGGGAGATTTTATTAGGTTTGTCACTCTTCCCAGGAAGGTCTCAATCACATTTTGAGTACTGTGCTCTAACCTCTCTTCTCAGGCCCAGCCCTTTTACCCTCCTTGATTTATTTCATTGCACTTTTCTGTATTCTCTGATCCATTACTCTCTAAATCTCTTATCCTAAGGAGAGCTATTAAACCTGCCAATGATAACAACACTGGAGTTGGGGCTGTTAGTGGCAGCACAGGCTTCATTAACTTTTGCCAGGCTCTGGAATGGAGGGAGTTACATGTTAGACTTCCAGTGGGCTTGATTTAGAAAAAGGTGGTTGAGGGGGTGGATGAGCATAGTATGGCCTCTCCCTCTATGCCAGCTTCTTTGTCCACAACTGCCTTAGTATCTCTGCCATCCTTTTTGTGCTGAAGGTCGTATATCTATGATGCTCTTGAAGTGGGAGCAGAATTCATTTTGTTTTTGTTCTCTTTCCCCTTAGATACACATATGAAGATTATCAGAACACTGCAGAATGGCTTCTGTCTCACACCAAGCACCGACCTCAAGTGGCAGTGATCTGTGGTTCTGGATTAGGCGGTCTTAGTGATAAATTAACTCATGCCCAGATCTTTGACTACAGTGAGATACCCAACTTTCCCCAAAGTACAGGTACTGGCAGGTGGAAGCGGGGGAGAAGACTGAGGGATATTGATGGGATTCTGTGGAACCCACCTAGGGAGGCCAATGTTTCTACTCCTGTTGAGCTTTTTTCCTCTGCAAGAGAGGGGAAAAAAAACCCATCATGAATCAGAATGACTTTAGAAGGAAATCCCCCTATAGTGGAAATCCCACAATACAGCTTGTGTGAGTCAGTGGGACTAAGATGATATCTTTCCTATGCTTTACAGACTTAGCTTCATAAAGGTCTTCAACACCTCTAGCATTCACCTCTTTCCCACATGTGCCTCCTCCCATGCACTGTAATCACCACATACACACACACTTCTCATTTTCTCCAGCCTATAACTTAAATGGAAAAAGCAGTGTCTCTAACTTCCCAGGACAAAGTCAAGCCTCTTCTGTCCAATGTCTTCTGTCATTCCCCATCCCTTACAGTCCAGCAGCAGATAAACACTGACTGCCATGTCCTTGCAGACACATACACAGATAATATAGTTTGCTGTCTACCCAAAGTTCTACATCCATGGATTCAATCAACCATAAATCGAAAATATGTATTTGAAAACAGATCCAATAAAAAATTAGTAATACAACAGTATATAATACAGATAGAATACAGTATAACAATTATTTACATTGTATTAGGTATTATAAGGAATCTAGAGGTGATTTAAAGTATATGGAAGGATATGTACAGGTTGTATGCAAATACTACACTTTTTTATATCAGGGATTTGCGCATCTCTGAATTTTGGCATCCAAGGAGGTCCTGGAACCAATCGCCTTCAGATACCAAGGAACAACTTTACTTGAATACACAAGACCTAATTCACACTGACCCTTTGGAAGGGGAGAAAGGCAGATGTTTCTTATGCATAGTGGAGCTCTGGGGGGATCTGAGGATAGCATATTCAGTATTCTAAAGCAGCTGGAAAACTCTAAGGCCAAACTTAGAAAGGGCCAGGTAGAAATGGGATCAAGCAAAGGACAAGGGTAGTTTATTTGGTAATTTCTCAAATAACAAACTTCCCTTGGTTTATTTATTTATTTACATTTCTATCTTCCTTTCTCTTTTGCCTGGATAGTTAACTTTTCTTTTCTTTTCTTTTTTTTTTTTTTTTTTGGAGTCAGAGTCTCACTGTATTGCCCATACTAGAATGCAGTGGCATGATCACAGCTCCTTGCAGCCTCTACCCTCTGGGTTCAGACAGTACTTCTACCTCAGCCTCCCAAGTAGCTGGAATTATAGGCATAGACTACCACACCCAGCTAATTTTTTTTTTATTTTTTGTAGAGATAAGGTTATTCTACGTTGCCCAGACTGGCCTTGAACTCTTGAACTCAAGCAATCCTCCCACCTTGGCCTCCCAAAGTGCTAGTATTACAGGCATGAGCCACCACTCTCAACCTAGTTAAGACTTTTAATAGGTATTTTTTAAACCTTTTGGAGTAAGACTGAGAAAGTAGGGCAGGAAGGTGTGGGAATGGGGTTGGAGAAGGAAGTTGTTTTTTTTTTAGTTGGAGTCTCACTCTGTCGCCCAGGCTGGAGTGCGGTGGCGTGCTCATGGCCACCCCAGCATTGACCTGCTGGGCTCTAGCGATCTTCTGCCTCAGCAGGCCTCCTAGCGTTGACCTGCTGGGCTCCAGCGATCTTCCACCTCAGCCTTCCAAGTAGCCAGAACTACAGGCATGCACTACCACGCCTAGCTAACTATGATTTATTGTAGAGGTGAGGTCTCACCATGTTGCCCAGGTTGGTCTCAAACCGGCGGGCTCAGGTAATCCTCTTGCCTCGGCCTCTCTAAGTACTGGGATTACAGACTTGAGCCACTGTGCCTGGCCAAGAAGGAAATATTAAGAGAGAGTGCAAAGAGCATAGTTCCCTGAGGGAGATAGTGGTGACATTGGTTCCATTGGCCACTCCTACCCTCAGTGGAAAGGGTGCTGTATTAAGTGATAAGTGGGTTGATTTTTTTTTTAAAAGCTTATCAACATTTAATATTTTTATACTCCATTTGGGTTTCCTGTATCAACTTTGTTCTATTACTGGTAAAAAAAAAATTTAATATATAACCTCCTTTATCTCTGAGAATTCCTCAACTCTTCCTCTTTATTCTGGTCCCTGTCCAGACCATTCATTCCCTAAGGGATAGGTCGGCCATCTATTACAGGAGGTTGCCAGATAAGGGAAATGGTAATAATGGTTGTTATGTCTGTAGAGAGTTATCTTTGCACTCCCACGCCCCCACATGTCCCTACATGAGCTTGTGTTCCCACAGGATTGTTCTATGGGTCATAAGGAAAGGGTCTTGCATAGGTTCAAATTCAGTCCCTTTCCCCTTTGTTCAGCAGTCTGTTTCCCCTTTGTTCAGCAGTCAGAGTAAGAATACCATGAGCTCACTTGTTGGAATGAGGAGGAATGTAGTTTAGTTAGGACAATATACAAGAATACATGTTTTGAGAACTTTGCAAATTATAGAAGTCTATGGTTACTGCATTCACTATTACCCACTTGAAAAAAAACTTTGTAAGCTGAGCTCGGTGGCTCAGCCTGTAATTCCGCGCCTTTGGGAGGCTGAGGTGAGTTGATTGCCTGAGCCCACGGGTTCGAGACCCGCCTGGGCAGCGAGACCTCATCTCTACAATAAATCAAAAAATCAGCCAGGCGTGGTAGCGCATGCCTATAATTCTGACTACTCGGAAGGTTGAGGTGGAAGGATTGCTGGAGCCCAGCAGGCGAGGCTGCAGTGACTGGGAGCGGCCACTGTACTCCAGTCTGGGCGACCAAGTGAGACTGCAACTCAAAAAAAAAAAAAAAAACTTTGTTATTTATTTAGTTTTTTAATGTTAGTTTTAATTTTTATAGATTTATGGGGTCTAAGTGTAGTTTTGTTACATGGATATATTACGTAGTGGCGAAATCTGCTTTTAATGTACCCATCACCTAAAAAGTGTACATTGTACCCATTAGGTAATCCCTCACTGCCCACCCACCTACTTTCTGAGACTCCAATGTCTATTATTCTACTCTCTACGTCCATGTGTACACATTATTTAGCTCCCGCTTATAAGTGAGAACATCGGTCTCTAAGTACCTACTTTTTTTTTTTGTTTGGTTGAGTTGAGGTCTCACTCTGTTGCCTAGGCTGTAGTGCAGTGGCACAATCACAGCTAACCACAGCCTTGAACTGCAGGGCTCAAAAAATCCTCCTGCCTCAGCCTCCCAAGTAGACCTATTAAAAGTCTTAACTAAGCCAGGCTCGGTGGCTCAGCATGTAATCCCGCGCCTTTGGGAGGCTGAGGTGAGTGAATTGCCTGAGCCCGCGGGTTCGAGACCCACCTGGGCAACTTGACGAGACCTCATCTCTACAATAAAAAAATCAAAATGAGCCGGGTGTGGTAGCGCGCGCCTGTAGTTTCAGCTACTTGGAAGGCTGAGGCAGAAGGATCGCTGGAGCCCAGCAGGTCGAGGCTGCAGTGACCCGGAGCGGCCATTGCACTCCAGTCTGGGTGACGGAGTGAGACTCCAACTCAAAAACAAAACAAAGAAAGTCTTAACTAGGTCAAGAGTGGTGGACTATAGGCACGTGTCACCACACCTGGCTTACTTTAACTTTCTTGCAGTATGACTTTTATTCATTAGAAAAATTTTTTAAAGCCTTTCCTTCTTCCTTTGTATGTTCACGTTGGACATCCTTTTCCCCATAGCTCTAATCTCCGGTTGTGTTTACATAATTATGATTAATGCCTGTCTCTTTCACTAGACTTAAACTTTCTGAAAGCAGAGATAATATGTCTTATTTTATTTAATCACACCTTAACATGTTGAGCACAGTGAGTAAAAAGCTCATGGTAGGTGTTCAGTGTAGGTGTGTTACATGAAAACATAATCCTATTCCTTTCTTTCTTTTTTGTATACAGTGCCAGGTCATGCTGGTCGACTGGTGTTTGGATTCCTGAATGGCAGGGCCTGTGTGATGATGCAGGGCAGGTTCCACATGTATGAAGGGTATTCACCGTGGAAGGTAAGGTGGGGCATAAGCCTGGTTGGAACTAGGAGCAGGGCGAAAACTGTCTATCCTATTTTATTACCTACCTATCTAGGCTAGGTAGATTTTTGGTCCTCTCTTTCCTCTTCTTTCTTTCTTTTTTTGTTTTTTGAGTTGGAGTCTCACTCTGTCGCCTAGACTGGAGTGTAGTGGCATGCTCACGGCCACCCCAATGTTGACTTGCTGGGCTCCTGTGATCCTTTCGCCTCAGCCTTCCAAGTAACCAGAATTACAGGCACATGCTACCACACCCGGCTAGTTATTGATTTATTGTAGAGACAAGTAGCCCCAACTGGTCTCAAACCTGCAGGCTTAGGCAGTCCACGCACCTTGGCCTCCCAAAGTGCTGGGATTACAGGCTGAGCCACCAGGCCTGGCTTCCTCTTCTTTCATGATGTATATCATGCATATCTTCATTGTTGGACTGATGACATTTCACAAAAACTTTTTCTGATCTTTTGCTTCTAAGGTGACATTCCCCGTGAGGGTTTTCCACCTTCTGGGTGTGGACACCCTGGTGGTCACCAATGCAGCTGGAGGTCTTAACCCCAAGTTTGAGGTTGGAGATATCATGCTGATCCGTGATCACATCAACCTACCTGGTTTCTGTGGTCAGAACCCTCTCAAAGGGCCTAATGATGAAAGGTATGTATCTTACTTCTTTGTTTCTAGATGGGTAGGATTTAAGGACTTGCTGAGAGAGAGTTCATTTAACTTCATTTATCTGAGGTAATCCGCCCTGTGCCCTAGATTTGGAGTTCGTTTTCCTGCCATGTCTGATGCCTATGACCGGACTATGAGACAGAAGGCTCTCAGTACCTGGAAACAAATGGGAGAGCAGCGAGAGCTACAGGAAGGCACCTATGTCATGTTGGCAGGCCCCAACTTTGAGACTGTGGCAGAGTGTCGTCTGCTGCAGAAGCTGGGGGCAGATGCTGTTGGTAAGAAAGGGAATTTGGTTGGAGGCTTGAGGACAGAAGGATCTGATAAAATAAAGGTGGGAAGAGTAGGAGGTTATAGACCTCATTGGATTGAGAGAGGATCTGAAGGGTGGGAAGGGTGAATTAAGCTGAGTTCTAAGAATTTAAAGTAGTGAGTTTGGTATATTATAGCATCAAATCTCCCTACTGAGTACCAGAAACCTAACAGCTGCAGTGCTCATAACCTACTCATGATTTGATAACTGTTCTAACAAATTTCACTATAGTCACCTTCAGTTCCTCTGGCTGGAAGAGGGAACGGTATCATTAGAACTGACATAAATTGCCACAAACAAATACAGAAATGAAGCATTGCATTGATAATTTTAAGAAATGTGAGGCCAGGCATGGTGATTCAAGCCTGTTATCCTAGTACTTTGGGAGACCGAGGCAAGAGGATGGCCTGAGCTCAGGGGATCGAGACCAGCCTGGGTAACTTGGTGAGACCCCGTCTCTACAATAAATCATAAAATTAGCCAGGCAAGATGGCGCAGCCTGTACTTCCAGCTACTTAGAAGGCTGAGGTGGAAGAATCACCAGAGCCCAGTAGGTCGACACTGCTGTGGCCGTGAACGTGCCTCTGCACTCCAGCCTGGGCAACAGAGACAGACTTCAACTCAAAAAAAAAAAAGTGTAAGATCCTCTGAGGCCCCATTTATATAAAGCAATGCAGGACGATAATACTCAACACTAATTTAACTGCTTCTGTGGATGTTTTTTGTGATTTTATATTCTTGTTGACACTAAAGGGCAAGGAAGAGTCATTTGAGGATTCTAACAGTTGGTTTTCCTCTTTCTACCCATCAGGCATGAGCACAGTACCAGAAGTTATAGTTGCACGGCACTGTGGACTTCGAGTCTTTGGCTTCTCACTGATCACTAACAAGGTCATCATGGATTATGAAAGCCTAGAGAAGGCCAATCATGAGGAAGTATTAGAGACCGGGAAACAAGCTGCTCAGAAATTGGAACAGTTTGTCACCATTCTTATGGCCAGCATCCCACTCTCTGATAATACTAGTTGACCTGCCCTAAAGTCTGGCATCTCCCACATGAGATCCAAGTTGCTGCTACCTATTTTGGCCCTCTGCTGGTATCATGTGCCTCTGCCCTTAGGTAGTAGGTAAAAGGAGAGGACGACTCCTATCCTTCAACTTCCCCACTATCTACCACTAAACCTTTCTGGTGCCAGGACCTCTTTTGCTCAGTGTCTTCTAAAGTGGTTTCCACCCCTGTTCTCCCCCAAGAGTTGGAGCCCATGCCCTACCACATGCCCAGGATTTGACTCGGGCCTTTGAACTTTATACAGTAGCTACTACTAATGTTTTGAAGTCATACTCTCACATTCCTGGGCACTCAGTTCTGCCTCACCTAAAGCACTGGAGACGAAATAAGGACCAGCCCAATACCTCTTGGACTTTATTTAACACCATAATGTTTTGAGAATAAAGAGAAAGATGAAATAATGTTGTTATTATTACTATCTTTTGTAATTTGGGATGAAACTGGAGCACAGACCAAGACTGGCGTAAAAGGATGTGAGACCACATGTTTTATGTGACTATCTGCTTTTTTTTTTTTTTTTTAGATAAGAAAATATAGTTTATTTGGAAAGTAAATTGGAGAGTGAGAGGGGAGACTCACCTTCCCAAGGTAGGGAAGAGGACCAAAGAGCACATGACCACACCATAATTTAGCAAGGGAAAGGCCACAATGGCCATGGTAATGGTTGACTATTTGCTTCTTAGGCAGCTAGGAACTGAGCGTAAGGTGGTATGTGGTTGCTGTAAAAGGTGAAGGAAAGGCAAGATGATGAAAGAGGTTGTAGGATGACAAGGTAAAGCTAATTTCTGGCACTTCGTGGCCACTTCCCTCAGACCAGTCTTGCCTCTGTCCCTTGGCTTCTGTCATTCCCTGTCAACTTGCTCATGAATGTCTGAATTAGTTCATTCATCTCAGCTTCTGTTCCTTAGTTGTCACTTCCATATAAAGGCCCTAATTATATTTCCTCTTGTTTTCCTTCTCTCCTCTACTCTTCTCTTAACTTCTTCTCTTTTTTTTTTTTTTAGTGTAATTAAATTAAATTAATTTATTTTTTAGTCAGTCTTTGTCACCCAGTCTGAAGTGCAGTAGCATGCTCAAAGCAACTGCAGCTTTGACCTGCTGGGCTCAGGTGATCCTTCCGCCTTAGCCTTCCAAATAGCTGGAACTACAGGAATGCACTACCATGTCTGGTTAATTTTTCTTGAGACGAGGTCTCGCCAAGTTACCCAGGCTGGTCTTGAACCCTTGGGCTCAGGCAATCCTCTCCCATCTGTCTCCCAAAGTGCTAGAATTACAACCTGGCCTCTTCTGAACTTCTACAGCCATATTCTCCTTCACTCCATTCTAACAATGCAGCAGCAAATATCCCTTTGTCTGTTTCCATCCACCCTACTGCTTAGTTTTCTGCCAGCCCCAGGCAAGAATCTAATGTGAAGTTGAGTCACACTCAGCTCCTCTTTGAGCACCTCCTTCCCTCCTCCTTCTCTGGGCTTCACTCTTTCTCTTCACTTTTGCTTAGTCAGAACCTCCCTATGACACTGCATCCAGGCATTGCCCTTTGTTGGCACACTGCGCTATTATCTCCTTTTATCAACTTGCATTCAGCTGGCTGGCATGTTTGAAAACCAACTACCCTCCCAGGCCTGTATGCCTTTTGAGAAAGGGACAGTCCTGGATGAGCCTCTAATAGTGATGACATTTCAGCTATTAGTATAATACGGAAGAGGGATTTTGAATAGGCAGCTTTTGAGAACTCTCAAATCATGCTTTGTCTGGTAACTGACCTACTTAGCTGTGCCCAGCACAAAGAGACAACATTTTGGAGTGGCTCTGTCACTCCTCTTGCTTTCATCAGTTCTTTGTGCCTTTACCCACCACTACAACTCTCTCTGGGTCTTTAGGCAATCTACTAGCATTTGTTACTTAATACAGAGCAGGTTGAGAGGAAAGTACATCCTTCAGATGTATACAGAACTGTAACTTGTTCATCTAATGAGTTGGCTTATAGACCATTTCTCTTTCATCAAATCATTGAATATCTCTGTGTAATGCTCTTGACTAAGAAAATACTTAATTGAGAACATAAAAATGATCCTGCCCCTTAAGTGCCCTATAACCTTAAGATTCATTTGCAAAGCCACTGCTGTACAAAGCTTGAGTAAAATAGGAACAAGTCACACATGGGATCTCAAAGGAGCGACCAATTGTACACACTGTACAGAGAGAACTGGGTTGGTTATAGTGTTTCATAAAGAACTTTGAGCTTAGTCTTGAAGGATGGAAGGGAGGAAAAGGATTTCACATCAGAATAAGCCAAAGCAGAGCTGTGAAAATTACTAGGCACATTCATGGGTCATTGTCATTGCTGGTGTGACTAGAACAGGAATGAGAGACTCTACTGAGACAGACAGAAAAGTAATTGGTGGTCAGAGGGGGGCTACATTTGGTGCATGTCTTTTCTACTCCTGATCTGCCTCTTGGTCAGATTGATCAGCAGGTGGTGCTACCTGAAAATTATGTCCTGGAGATACTGGAGTGAAATATTTAAGGGTATTTTAGCTTTTTAGATTTAGTAAGCAGATTTGCCAAATTCACATTTACTTATATGAAAACATTAAGTGTCTTCAGTTTCCATTTTCTTTATTTTATTTTAAAGGTGTGGGGTACAATTCAGGATTAGGTATACAAATAGTCATCGTACAGGTAAAGTTTGGGCCTCCCTTTGGTCCTCACTTTGCCTGGTTTGAGATCAGGCACCCTTATTGATGTTGTGTCCCTCCATCTATTTTCTTGAACAGCTATATTGAGATAAAATTTACATACCATAGAATTCTCCCATTTAAAGTGAACAATTCAGTGATCTTTAGTATTTTCACAGATAAATGCAATTATTACCAGTCAATTTTAGATAATTTCATCACCCAAAGGGAAACTTTTTCTGCTCCCACACCAGCCCTAAATAACTACTAATCTACTTTAGACTTAGTCTCTATAGACTTAACTATTTTGGACTTTCACATGAATGGAATTGAACTTTTAAAATAGGCTTCTTTCACTTAGCATAATGTTTTCAAGATTCATCCAAGTTATAGCTTGTATCAGAGATTCCTTTCTTTTTATAGCCAAATAATATTCCCTTGTATGGATACTGGATATTTTGTTTATTTCAATTTCAAAGTGTCAATCAATCCAACCAAAGTAGAATGTATCAGTTTAGGACAGCAAGAGGATAACAGCAAAAAGTTAAGGAAAGTAGTTCTGGAATGGTTTCCTAGAGAAAGGACATTCTTGAAAAAAATAACTGGTAGTGAGACCATTTATTTTCAGAGAGGCCTGCAAGATCCTGTAAAATAGACTGATTTTCCTGAGTCTCGTGGTAGATGTGAACACACTCAACTTGGGCTTTCTTTCTTGACCCTATCATGAGCATCTTTATCAGGGTCAATACATATCTATTAATCGTATACTATATATAGAATGTTGTTCTAAAAAATCATAATGTAAATTGGCATAAAATGATAAAAAACTAGGTTGAGTTAGTTGTGTCCTCTATGCCTGCTAAAGACTACTACTAGTCTCTCTATATGTTACATTGTTGCTGTTTAGAATAGGCTTTTTCTACTGATCTATGAGGAAGAGGCCTCATTCTTTAAAAAAGAAACACCATCATGTATGAAAAGTAGCATATGCTAAGTGTCAATGATGGTATGTGCTAACCGGAATTCAGAGAAGAGAACCAGTCCTGGAGTTGGGGGCTGGAGAGGATTGAGTCTCAAATTAGGCCTTACAGTAATGTCTGGTGCCCAGCCTGGGCAATATAGTGAGACCTCACCTCTACCAAAAAAATTAAAAAATTATCTGGGCGTGGTGGCACATGTCTGTAGTCCCAGTTACTTGGGAGCCTGAGGAGAGAGGGATGGCTTTAGCTCAGGAGTTTAAGGCTGTAGTGAGCCATGATTCTGCCACTGCACTCCAGTCTGGGTGACAGAGTGAGACTGACTCAAAAAAAAGAAATGCCAAGCAAGGTGGCTCATGTCTGTAGCCCCAGCTACTCTGGAGGCTGAGGTAGGAGGATCCCTTAAGCCCATGAGTTGGAGGCTGCAGTGAGCTATGATCGTGCCACTACACTCCAGCCTTGGCAAGAGAGCAAGATTTGGTCTCTGAAGAAAAAAAAAAAGGCGGAGAAGGTCAAAAAAATAAATGAACAGGAGGGGGAGAGGTAAGGTAGAGAGGAGCTCTGATTCCAGGCTGAGGAATAAGAATTTTATTTTCTAGGCAAGATGGCCAGCCATTGAAGGCTTTTAAACCAAGGACAGATAGGTGAAAATTGCATTGTAAATAGATAGTAGAATTATTTCACCCAACATTAACTATGGAAAAGAGTAATTGGCATTTAATTGTTAGTCAGGTTGAGGTTTTTGATAGTGTTTTAAAGAATAAACTGTTATAAAATGTAAAGGCAAAAGTGAAATAATTTAGAGATAAAGATACACACTTAAGTCAATAGTTTTCTCTTTTTTGTTGTTTAAAAGTTTGAAAAGGTGATATAATCATATAGTTCAAAAATTACACAACATAAAATGTATGCAGTGAAACTGACTCAGAAATAGAAAACCAAATACTGCATGTTCTCACTCATATGTGGAAGCTAAATGGTCACAAGGATAGAAATAATAGACACTGGGGATACCAATAAGGGAGGAGAAGAAAGGGGGTTTAAAAACTACCTATGGGACACAATGTTCACTTTCTGGGGAATGGGCCACCTGAGACCCAGTCCCCACCACTACGCAATATTGTCCACGTAATGAATATGCATGTATACTCTGAATCTAAAAAACAAAAAAAGTCCCACCTCTATCTTGTCCCCCACCTGCCCTTTTTTCCTCATTCCATTGGTAACTACTTTTATTCATTTATTTTGCATTCTTCCAGGACTTATAAAAATATAAACAAATACAAATTCGATTTTTCCTCTCTTATTATAAGCAGAAGTTACCATGTTATATATACTGTCCTGCATCTTGTCATCTTATTTTAACCTATATCTTGGAGATCTTTTCACATCAGTAAATTAGTGTGCTTTCTTGACGACTTAGGGCAATGCTTCCAACGATATGTGTCTGTCACTTCAAATTTTTTAGAAGCAAAGGAAGAATGTGGTCTTAATTCTTTTTAAAGCCATTGCCTAGTCTGTTTCTTGATTACTAATATGAATAGAGACAAAGAGATAATGCCTTTTGCAGCCCCTTAAAAGTAAGAAAGTGGGAAGAAGAGAACTGTTCATTCTGTACTGTGCCTGCTGCCTAATTTGATTTGTCTTAGATTTGTGTTGCCTTTATTTTTTCTTGTAAATAGACCTCTGGTTTTCATAATAGTGTTTCGTTTCTAAGGGACACCTTTGAACAAACACTGGCTATCT